GCTTTGGGGATAGATCCGTGTGCTGGTATGACGTTGTTTAAATACGTGGACACTGGGACCTAGTTATGATGTGCCACAAATTTGTTCCAAATTAGTCTGGTGGAAATGTGAGCGGATGCATAACATCTAGATTAGGATGTGTTATATTACTTAGGTATGTGTACCTCGATGGATCAAGTTACACAGTCCCCGCTCTAAAGCTCAATAAGATTTCGGGTGGTCAATAGTCAAAACCCATTTCGAATGCAGCATCAATACTTATGTTTCCGTGCATTGCGGCAATTGTGTCGATCGTTAAGTGTATAACAAGGTGTTTTTTGAACCTTTCATGTTTCACAGTCTTACGCACTTCCGTTGGCAGTTTGTTCCATAATCTGGAGTAGATACTAAGGAAAAATCTTTTTCGTGTTGCAGTTCTGTCGAGGGTTGTGGGGAGCATGTTTTCATGGTTACGTAATGGGTATTGTGAGTTTTCCAGAAAATCAATTTTAGTCGTGGAATGGGCCATTTTGTAAATGAAGCGATGTAAGATAGTGAGATTTAGTCTAATCCGGCGCAGCCAGAGGGGATCCAGCCTGAGGAGAATGCACCTTTCCATATAGCCCAGGTTTGTTGACCAACCAAAAATTTGTTTAGTAAATTTACGCTGGACTTTTTCAATGGCTTCCCGGTCATGTTTCCTCATGCTGGAATATACAATTGAGGAATATTCTAATAAAGGTCTTACATGCGATTTATATGGGGTAATAATACTCTCCCGAAGGCTAAGGTTACTGAATACGAGGTGAACAGTGCGCTTTACCTTTACTATCTGGAGGGCGCAAGCTCCGAAAAGTTTAAGGTACAGGAATAGTTTAAACCGAAATCTCGAATAGAAGAGGTTTGGGCAATGGTGGCGTTATTCATAGTCAGAATACCAGGAGGGACTTAGCATCTATGGGACAGGATTTCGCTCTTTTTGGCAGAGAAGCTCATCGACCATTCAGAGTACCAGTGATCTAGGGTCCGGCAGTAGCCACGGTGCAACGAACCCCAATGGATCGGGCCAACGAAGACAGAATTCCTCTGCGATTCGCTGTCGTCTCAGGTAACTGGAGTTGGAACAAAAAGTCGTCTTTCTCCGAATCCAAGTGCACACCAAGTGCTCTGTCTATTGGTAACGAACTCCCCTGACATCCACTTGGTCAACTTGAACCCTCCCATGAGCAGTAGCTTGTATAAATCCCTAATATGTCGAACTGTTTCCTCAGTGTTATCCAAGGATCCCAGGAAGTCGTCCACATAAAAATTATGTTGAACACAGGAGCCAACCGGGGTTTCGAAACACTGAGCAAATTTGTTCACGGTCATTTATAACGCAAAGTTCGCACAGAAGGGAGAGGTTATTGCGCCAAACGGGTGCACCGTTATCCGATATTCCTGGATAGGTCCGTCTAGATCTCCATCCGGCCACCACCACAACCTTATATCCCAACTCTAGATTGCGTTTCATGGCGTTAAAGTAGGCTTCCTTCAACTGCGCGTTCCTCTTCAATCGACCCTTCAGGTATTTGAGCCTGCGGAGTGCCATTTCTCCATTGTCTGGCAGTCGGTTGGATCCCGTTCGCCAGGGTAAAGGCACTTCAAACTGGGTTCCGTTGTGTCCTGTCGTTTCGGTGACCACAGCCAGGGCTGCTCGATCTTCCCTCAACATAGATACCCGGTCGTCTGCTATGTCGCCGAAATCGTGGTTGTAAAGTCGCTCCAGGTCGTCTCCTATGGGATTATCTGGCCGCGAGATGAAGTTGATCGAGGCTGAGTAACAACCATCATTACCGAGTGGCCAACAGAGTATTCAACCAAACATTGTGCGCACAGCATACGGATCTCTACGGCCTCCTATCATTTGGTCTAGAACTCAATGCACCTCGGGTACATCACAGCCGATCAATATGTCCATTCGGCTCTCCGGAACATCCTCGAACGGCAGATCGTGGAGGTGAGGCCAGCGCCGCGCTAGTGACCGGATACTTTCGGAAGCTCTCATGAGTAGTTCGGCGATAGTAAATGCCTGGTGTACCTTTTTCGTATCTTTCCCCAATGTGGGAGCTAACTTCAAACACAT